TGTCCGGTTAGTGCCCAATTTGGCAGTAGCTGTAACTTTCCCCTGTTCGGTCTCTTCGTTCACTCCCCCTCTCACCAGTAACGTTGTGCTACTTGGCAGGTTGGGATTCTTCCATTGCTAGAAGCGGCCTGAGTTGATTCGCAGATGGTGTCGGGATTGGCCAATTTAAGGAGTTGAAGCAGTGAAGGACGCAATGGCATCCTAAAAATCCATTTTTACTCATTTTAATTTCGAATCATTCACCCAGGAGGTATGAACTGCTCTTTTTATCATTTACCTGGTGTTAAATGTTGCTGACAGTTTCCCTTGACATGCCATTTCCTACACACTTTACAAAAATGACACTATGCTATGCAGCCTAGGAACGAGGTATTTAACAGTTAGAAGGGCTCAATTAATGAATAGATAGATTGTTATCAAGGTTCTCTTGGGATAAACTTGCAAAACGTAATTTAAATATTATCTTGTGGAAGGAGAAGGGAAGAAGGAGAAGACGAAAAAGTGGAAGTGTATGGCAATTAAACAGCACGGAGAAGAAGTGCCGAAGCACCAGTTGCTATTAGTCAATCCATTCAATAACTTTGTCAGCATGGCAATTACCCACCTCTCCTCACACACACCTCCAGCACCGACAGATGGGGAAAATTGTATTAGTTGGTTGACCTCGGTCACCATAGAGGGCGGGTATTTCGGAGCCTCTCGAAGCCTCTGCTTAAAGTCGTGCTCACCGAGGGTGGTGGTGGAGAAGATACTGCCTACTACGGGATGGGTGAGGTGAAAGGAAGCCTAATAGCATGGCTTGAAGACCATGTAGTGCGGAGCAGGGAGGAAGCATACCATTTTCTCAGAATTTCCCTGCTTGTACATTGCGGGACACACAAATAGACAACACATCACAGGTGGTTTTTTATTACGGCATGGTTCCCTTCTCTAAAATGTTTGGAATGACTAGAACTAGTCTGACTATTAAAAGGTCTTAAATTTGCACAAGTCACATACACATCTCAGGCCAGTGCCAAACTCG